CCGCGGCATGTGGGATCTTCCCGGACCGGGGCACGAACCCGTGTCCCCTGCATCGGCAGGCGGACTCTAGACCACTGCACCACCAGGGAAGCCCCTGTTATTCTTTTTCTAATTGTAGTTGACTTACAGTATAACATTAGTTTCGGGTATCAGCATAGATATTTAGTATATTTACAGATTACTCCATGAAAAGTTATTATAAGATAAGGGCTATAATTCCCTGTGCTATACAATATATCCTTGTTGCTTATCTATTTCATACATACTAGTTTATATCTGTTAAACCCAATACCCCTAATTTGTCCCTCCCCCCTTCCCTCTCCCTTTTGGTAACCACTAGTTTGTTTTCTGACTGTTTCTGGAGAAAATTGTTATTCTAACTGAGGTTCTGAACTATGTGGAATATTTTAACTCTTACAGAAGTTCTTTAAAATGTTTTCCACGAGATGGTTCTGCATTTGCCTGGCCAGCTGTGGTTGAACACAATGAGTAAACACTACATCAAGTTCTTATCAGTGGGACTTCCCTGGTGGCACAGTGGTTAAGAATCCACCTGCCAATGCAGGGGATGTGGGTTCAAGCCCTGGTCCGGGAAGATCCCACATGCCACGGAGCAACAAAGCCCATGTACCACAACTACTGAGCCTGTGCTCTAGAGCCTGCGAGCCACAACTACTGAGCCTGCACCTTAAAGCCCATGAGCCACAACTACTGAGCCCATGTGCCACAACTACTGAAGCCCACGCGCCTAGAGCCCGTGCTCAACAATAGAAGCCACCGCAATGAGAAGCCCACACACTGCAAGGAAGAGTAGCCCCCGCTCGCCGCAACTAGAGAAAGCCTGTACACAGCAATGAAGACCCAACAAAGGCAAAAAAACAAATTAATTAATTACTAAAAACAAAATTTTTTTTATTTAGAAAAAAGATCTCAGCAGTGGTCTGGGCAGTGGTTCTCAGGCTTTGCAGCACATTAGAATCACCTGGGGAGCTTTTAAAAACTCTCAAAACCCAGGCCTAACTCCAGGCTGATTGAATCAGAATATCTGGGGGAAGGGGCTCATGAATCAGTTTTAGTTTTGTTTTTCGGTTTTTTAACTCTCTAGGTGATTGCAAAATGCAGCCAAACTTGAGAGCCAGTAGGTGAGGGAACAAAATACTACCAGACTTGCTGGCAGACTAATCTTCCCAAAGTGCAGCTCTTTTAATTTTTTTCTCTCTGTTTAAAAATTTTCAACACATTTTAGCTGCCCTCGAGAAACATTCAAGACCCTCTACATCTGGACCCCAACACCCCGCTTTCCACCCTCAGTGCCCCCTGGTCCATCCCTGCAAAAGTTCACCCCTTCTTGCCTCTGCACACCCGGTGCCCCGTCCTGAAACACGGGCCGGCCCCTCAAGCTCTTGCTCATCTGAAAGCTCCTCCTTCTCTGTGAAGTCCTTCCCAAATGCCCACCCCGACCTCCTGCGCCATTTTTATCACCTGAACCTCCTGCGCCATTTTCATCATTCACTTCACATTTCACATGTACTGTCACATACATTAATCATCTTTTAACAAAGCTCTTTTATTTCCCAACTAGAATATAAGCCGTGAGGTCATTTATAATTGGCTAACGCAAAACTTTCTGTACCCAAGGACAGGAGCCTGAACCTCATCTTGGTTGACTGATGTCAAAGTACTACCGCTTCTTTCCAAGAATGTTGGGATTTAAGGACATCTATAAAGGGAAGATAGTAAGTGGGCTCTTAATCCATTACATAATAACAACTACGTCGCTGGATTTGGTTTCCAGTTGTTCAGTCTCCAATCTTTCAAACATGTTTTTAGATCAAAATGAATATTTAAATTAATCTGTACTCTGCTCATGTACATGGTCTGCAGTGGCATTTAGCAGTATGCTGTTAAACAGTTTCAGAAGCCCAGATCCAACCTGTTCTAAAATAACTTTGAAGGGTAGGGGCACTCAGAAACAAACTGCTTGTGGATTCACAGAAAAGAACATCACAATGGGTTGATAGGAGCTGTTACA